AATACTTAAATTATTGGTAATTTTTTTTAATAATTATATTTATTATAAAATAAGTAATTGCATACATTTTCATAAATTTTTGTGAAAGTGTTATGATGTAAATTATTATTATTACACCATTAATTAGTTATTAGAAAATTATTATTTTTCATAACTCATGTAAAAAAGGAAGGGAAATGAATAATTTTTTCTCAATAAATATTTATTTATTTTTTTTTTTTTTAATTAAGTAATAGATAAAAATAAATATATATTAAGGTTAGCCAAATTTTTTTTATTTTTTGTTTATATAAAAATGCCAAAAGTAAAAAAAAAAAAATTTGGTTTATATATTTCAACAAAACCGGTTGTTGTTGTTGTTAATAATTACTTTTTATTTCCTTCCTTTTTTTTTTTTTTTTAAAAATAAATATTTATTTTGGAATGAGAAAAAAGAAAAAATTTATTTATTTTTTTTAATGCATTCAGAACAAATTTTATATTTTATTTATTTATTTTTTTTTTTTTTTACTTTTTATATACAAACCATAAAAACAAAAAAAAAAATTTTTTATTTTCTTCCTTAAAAAAAAAATATTTATGTTAAAAAACATAAAAAAATATTTATTTTAAATTTTAAATTTAACTACAAACACAAAAATAATTTTTTATGTTTTTTTTTTTTTTTTTTTATTTTAAAAATGTTACAAAATTTAAATTAAACCCCCGCCCCCACCCACCCCCCCTGCCTCCCCACGTAAATTAATTTTTAATGTTTAACTTAAGAATCAACATATTTTGTAAAATTTTATCATTATTATTACTCATAAATTTTTTTTTTTTTTAGGTTTTTTTAGAATTTTTTAAAAGGATTTTAAAATATTATTATTTAAATTTATATTATTATTATTATTGGTTTAATTTGTTTTTTAAATGATAAAGTGTAAAATGAAATGGGAAAGAAATTTAGTTTATTTGTAAAAATGTACGTGATTGTTTTTTTTCATTTCATTTCAGTCAGTCAGTCATTCATTCATTGATTGATTGATTCATTTACGACTGTAAACAAATAAGAAGAAATTAATTAATTTCTGGTATTCCAGATTGCCAAGGTTACAATCAATGGCAACGCTTCAAATGTTTGCCTAGTTCTTCCCGCAAAAAAAAAAAAAAAAAAAAAAAATTTTTATCGTTCAGTCTCACATTGACTTTTCACTAGTGAAACATATAATTAAAATAAAAAAAAAATGGTGGCTTTACCAATCGTATTATTAATATTTATAACATCATCAAATTATAATAAAGAGGAAAATATAAATGATGAAAAATTGGAAACGACGGATAAAACGTATAAAAAAATGTAAGTTGAAATTTTTTTAAATATTTTTTCTTTTTTTGCCCCCTCCCCCCCCAAATAATTGTTTTTTTTACATAATTTATTATTTTTTAATTAAATTTAGAAATCAAGAAGAATTTCAAATGCGTGAAAAATTTAATTCACAAGTTAACGATTTGACTCCCGTATCAAATTTATATAAATTTCCAGATAATGGATCCCCAAATGAAAATTTTATGGAAAAAAAAATAAGGAAAGAAGGTGAAGCTAACGAAATGTGAGTAAAAAATTCATTCAATCAATCAATCAATCAATCATTTCTTTTTTTAATAAACGATTCATCATCGTTCGATTTTTAATTTTTGTCATTTTATTAACTTTTTAAATTAATGACACGTTGAAAAAAAATTATTACTCCATATTTTTTTTTTTTAATAAAAAAAACATATCGATCGATAATTTATCGATATATCGATCCATCGATTAAATGTCGCGCAATTTATTTTTTATTATTATTAAATAATTTTTTTTTTTTGGAACTACATGTCTACAACTATCATCGATTGAATCGTTTTTTTAACAAGTAAAAATAGTGGTGATAATAATAATGATGATGATGATGATGACTATGAAAAAAAATGAGGTTAAGTGTTATGTGTTACCAAGAAAAATGTTTAACCGCAAGAAAGAACTTTAAACTTTTTTTTTTTATTATTTTTATTTTTATTTATGCGTAATTTTATGACTTGTTTAAAAAAAAAACTTAAAAGTCACGCCATTTAAGTAAATAAATTTTCTTTTTTTTTGCCGACAGAAAAACAAGAAAAGAAAAAGCTCCCGTACCTTTATACAGTCTCGTTAAAAATGTTTGCGAAAACGGTTACGTCATGGATGAAAATGGCGTCTGTCAAAAAGCGATCGTTTTAAAAAGTGGAAAAGAGTAAGTTTAATTACTTATATATATTTAAACCTTTTACATAAACAAATAATAATATTTTAATTTATTTATTTAGATTCGATTCGGAAAAAAGAAGACGAAGGAGGAGAAGAGATTTATCGACGAATTTTCCGGTTTTCCTATCCGATATTAATAATGATAATAATCAAAGGATTTCGGTAAGTTTTTTTTTTTTTTTATTACTAACCGTTAATATTTTACTTTTCGTTGTGTGTCCAAGTCATCGCTAATGAATGTACTTACGCCATTTTTTCTCTCTCCAAACAAACAAACAAACAAACAAACATTTAACATTCCGTGATAAAAAACAGAAATTACTTTAATTATTATTATTATTATTATTATTATTATTACGAAAGTCGTTGCCAAAACGTTACCTTTTATGAATTATGCATTTTCCGTTAACGTTTTTATTATTACCATCATCATTATTATTATCTAAATTTTTTATATATGGATATTGAATATTATTATTATTATTATTATTATTGATTTGTTGGGAACGAAAACGTTTTTAACAAAAAAAAAAAAAATTCCTATTGGAATTAAATACTTACCTTATGAGAATATCAAATTTAACGGTTTTTTATTTGTTTATTTTTTTTTTTTTTTTTTACGACTACGTTTGTCAAAATAGTAACTTTTTATTACGGACGACAGGAAAACACTGTTTGAAACAAAACAAATAAGATAAACGTGTTTGTTTTAATATAGAAGGCGGTGTGATTTTATTATTATGATTTTATATTTAAAAAAAAAAAAAAAAAAAACTTTTAACGTATTTTTAATCCAGAAAAAGAATAAAAAAGTTTATCATTCGTTTAATTATATTTGATTAATGACGTCACCACGAACAGGCTTATATCAAATTAAATAATGATATTTTATTATTATTATTATTATTATTATTTATTTGTTTTAATTATGCGTTATCATAAAAAATTGTCTCTCTTTATAACAATTAGTTACCAAATCGAAGTCCGATTCTGAAATAAAAGTTTTTTTTTTTCATTATAAATATTGTGTTGGTTGTTTTGTGTTAAAAACGCGCCATTTTACTTACGGTAAAGGATGAGGATTTTCTCTAAAAGGTTTTGATTTTCCAACGATTCTTTTACATCTGTTGTGTCCATCTAGGAAAAAACCAGGTGAACAATTTCTTTTGGGTAAATCATCCGTTTTAACAGGATTTGTAGATCTTCGAAAATGACCAGATGGAAAATTTTGATATGATTCGATGGGAAGGTAGTTGTAGGGAGGATTTCTATATAATTCAGGTCCTGGAACAACCGGTACCTGTTCCTGTACGTTTTGATCGACAGGTTGTACTAAAGGATTAGGCGATGGATAAATTGGTGGAAAATAAACCGTGTTGTTTTGCGGATCTAAATAAATTGTGCTTTGTGAAAAATTATAATTTTGTTGTGTTGTTGCTGATGATGATGATGTTTTTTTCGTTAATTTAGATGTTCCTCTTCCACTTGACGTGGTTGTTGTCGTTGTTGTTGTTGTTGTAGTTTTTGCAGTCGTTGATTTTTTAGTCGTTGTTGTTGATGGAGCCTTCGTTGTTGTCGATTGTTGAGGTGGTCTTATTGTAAAATCAGAATAATCATAATTGTAATCGTACTAAAAAGAATTTACCACAAACGTTTTTATTATTTAAAAATTTGACGTGGAACAAGAAAAAAAAAATTAATGGAATTATTATTGTACGAAATGTTGTACACATATATATATTTAAAAAAAATATTAATTTTTACTCACATCCCCTCCAAAATCTCCATTACTTGCGGCTATTATTACCGTATCTTTCAAGTCCACCCGTACGTTTGTTTTACCACTTTGCCTTTGGTCATAAATGCCAGAATTTGAAGCAATAACAACATTTGTAATACAACCGATTATAGTCGTCAAAATAATCTTCGTTAATATTAACATTTTTTAAATAATCTTAATATTTAAAATACCTATAATAAAAAAAACTCGATTATATAATAAATAAATAAATAAATAAATAAAACGTAGTCGTTGAAAAAAAAAAAAAATGTCCTCCTGATAGTTATCACGAGAGTTGAACCACTGATTTCAAAGTCAATGCCATGGCCACTGGCCATATAATACCTTCAATCTTTTTTACCGTTTTTTTTTTTTTCAGGTATTCAAGGTAGAGACCAGTATTATTCTTTTTTTTTTTTTTAAAAAGTTCAGTATATATAACATGTTCAGTTGTTAGCATTCGATAGTTATAAACATTTTACGATTTAAAAATATTTCAATAATAAAATTATTATAACAGATCACGTGAAACAAAAACCGTTGTGACGTCATTAAAAATTTTTTTTTTTTAGAGTAAATAAACGAATTCGTTTTTACGTTACTCCCCTTCGTTTTTTTTTTTTTTTTTTTTTTAAAAAAAAAAATATTAATTTTAAACATAGTAATAATAATAATAACAGTTCGAGTAATATTTAAATAAAAATTTTTTTTTGTTTTTTTTTTACTTACAAATTCAACCCGCGCGCGCGCGTTTTTCACATTTTCTTATAACTTTCGGACGAGTTTTTCAAATTTCGTAACCCCTATATATAAACGTTTGACAAATAATTATTGGGCAAAACAGTTAAAAAAAAAAAAAAAAGGAAACAAAATTTTTTTAAAAAAAAGTA